GCCACGGACAAACACCTTCCACCTGTCTCTATCCTGGACTAGCCTCTTGATGTTATTCCACGTCTTCCCACTTTTCTGTACATCAGTCTCTGTGATTCTTCTCCGGGTTCCACGAGGTCTTCCCCTTGATCTCTTCTGTTCACATGGACTAAGGCCAAAATGTTGACGGGAACAAAAATTTCTTTATTCCATTTTTAAAATCTGTAGTGTGGGTGGTTGGCGGGTGCTCTGGTGTGGTTTTGCTCCTTCTTTCCTATCCAACTTCTATCATCTTTATCTCCCCTCCTTCTTTTTTGTGTTTGTTACTCCTTTGTAACACCTCTAGTCTTCGGCACTTGTATGACCTTACTGTGTTGCAAGTGCCGTAAAACACTTACTGAAACTAAAAAATGACAGGTTCAATATGATGAGGAGTGGAATCCTGAAGAACAGAAACATTTCATTGTCAGCTGGACACTGACTAGTGCACCTCGACCAGAAACTAGTGAACTTTTATTATCAACCAAACACTGGTGCATTTCAAGTTGAAACGGACACAAGTGCACTTTTGTTGTAATAATAAATGACATTTATAATAATAGATAGCATTTGTATGACGCATATCCCCGCTCAGCAGCAGGCTCTATGCGCTTTACACTATATTATTACCCCAGCAGACCATAGAACACTCCGAAACATTCTCAGCTTCCCGGGAAGCATATATAGAGCTCAACCTCGATTAAAGTACACAGGCTCTGAGCGCTTTACAATACGGTACAACGTACAACAGTAACATAAAACGCTGTGTTCTGACTAAAAGAAAATCACTCCAAATATTCATCTTATTAATGTACAAACAGAAAATGACTTCAGCTGACATTTGAATAATAAATAAAAAGATTTGATCTCTTTTAAAGTAGTACCAACCAATCACAGTGCACCTCAAGTAGGTGGGTGGTTGGCGGGTGCTCTAGTGTGGTTTGCTCCTTCTTTCCTATCAAACATCTATCGTCTTTATCTCCCCTCCTTCTTTTTTGTGTTTGTTACTCCTTTGTAACACCTCTAATCTTCGGCACTTATTGTGTTGCGAGTGCCGTAAAACTCTTATTAAAACTAAACTTACTAATTGAAAAACAGAAATGACTTCAGCTGACTTTTGAATAAATCAAAAGATTTGGTCTCTTTTAAAGTATTATCAAGCAAAAAGAGTGCACCGCAAGTACTTAAAGTATGATCAACACCAAACACAGTGCACCTCATGTAACCCCCCATTCCTCCCGCTTCCACTCGGCAGATATCGCTCCAGGTCTCGGAGAAGCAGCACCAAGCCAGGCTTGGGCCTCGTGGACAAGACGTCCTCGTCTCTGACGGCCGCCGAGAGCGACCAGCTGAAGCAGGTGCAGCGACTGTCACGGCTCAAACAGGAAGGCTCGACGGGCGAGGCAGCAGCTCCTCTCCCGACCCCCGACGGCCTTCGCGACGGTGTTCAAGGTCACCCCAGCGGGTCAGTGTGCTCTAACAAACAGAAAAAAGTGTGGGTGGTTGGCGGGTGCTCTGATATGGTTTGCTCCTTCTTTCCTATTAAACATCTGTCGTCTTGATCTCTCCTCCTTCTTTTTTGTGTTTGTTACTCTCTTGTAACATGTCTAATCTTCGTCACTTATATGACATTATTGTGTTGCAAGTGCCGTACAATTCTTCGTCATCATCATCATCCAGTGCCAGATCTGCGACAGACATCGGCGATCATGGTTTTCCATTCATTCCTTTGCTCGGATGCTCTGAAAAAAGCTACGTTTCCTTGATCTTTCCCTGTT